TATATCGTAGTGTGGTGATTTAACATATTCTTCAGAATTTTCGATTTTTTGTAAAATTTAAGAAAATCCTCACACAGCCTTGAGAAATTCAGATGTTTTGGGTATTTAGGTCTTTAATGGTGACCTTTGAACTACAATTAATAACATGAATTTGTTAAAATTAATGTATGCAATGCACAATAACAGTAGTGCAATTCGGGTAGGATGCGTTCACCTTTCCACAAACACCTAGTGTATCAGCATTGTCACTAGAAATTCAGAAATACATGTACCTAATTTATTCGTATTGGAACAATCGACTCTATTTTTTCTCTGCAGTTTAGAGGCGGTGGGGCTCACTCACTCACTCACGCACTCACTCACTCACTACAGACATTCATAGTGACCACGTATCCTCTGTTCATGAAAATAGAGAAACCGACCCTCTTTGTTCATGTATTATTTCAGTTCCAAAAAGTATTTAAGAAGGGGCAGTAGTTGCCTGCTAGTTAGCGCTAGTTGCTCGGCATGCCGGAGACCCGGGCTCGATCTCTCTCATGGGTACAATGTATCCATTTTTGGTATCCTCCTCTCTGATGTTCCTGAAAAATTGCTATAAGCGGTTTATTAAAAGCGGAATTATTTTTATCTTTCCGCACAAAAACACACTCACTCACTCTGCAAATGATGGATGTGGAAAGGTTTTACACCGTTTTTTAGTTTTGTTGTTCGTTTTTTTTTCGTATATAATTACAGGCAATACAATACACACAATTTGAATTATAATTTTACACGATCCATTGTGCCGTAAAAAAGGTCACTTGTTTGCTGTTTGGAAAACATTTGTTAGATATCAGGTGAGAAACAAGATCTAGAGACGATAGCACTACGTTTGTTTGTTGGTAAGAAGGAGAAGTACCTTCACAAAACATGGACGTTTTTTTACTCGTTTCCAATGATATTATTTCCTTTGAGGAACATAAAACCTTCGTTACTAGTATTTACTTTATTCCCATGTCAATGATATATTTAAAACAGAGACACTGACCTGGGTAAGAAGAGTAAGTAACAATCCACTCCGGAATCGTTATGTTGTAAACGATCACTTTGAAAACAAACAGATACTGATTACCCTACAAATACAGCAGCCAGGTCACAAGCAAGATTAAGTGAAGCTGGTCGTGGCGAGTAGCTGCAGCTTTACTCCTGAGGGTTACTCAGGTATCTAGCCTGACCTACACTCAAGCCTGTACATGAACCACCCTTGTCTCCATAGGCAATTGTGTTCGCAATATGCATCTAAGCACTCAGCAAGATGAGATAGTATGTGGTAGCTAACTGCCCACCAGCTCATAGGCGGCTTGGATTGAATACTTCCCATGGGCTTCAGAGTGCAGAGAGGCAAGAGCGAAATTCGAGTCGACAAAGATCATTGGATGAAACTTCGCAAAGAACAACAGACCATCCACTTAAGTCGTGCCAAGTGTTTTTCGGTTTTAGGTTATGTTGACGTTTGTCTCAAGATTAGTTGGTTGGTTGTTTTGTTGTTTTACGCCGCACTGGGCAACATTCCAGCTATATGGCGGCGGTCTGTTAATAATCAAGCCTGGACCAGACAATCCAGTGATGAGCATCATGAACATCGGTCTACGCAATTGGGATACGATGGCACGTGTCAGGCAAGTCAGCGAGCTTGACCACCCTATCCCGTTAGTCGCCCCTTACGACAAGCATGGGTTGCTGAAGACCAATTCTGAACGTGATCTTCAATGGTCATCAAGGTTAAAGTTTCTGTAATGCTTTCTGGAACGAAATGACTAAAACACACGAGCAGAATACGTTTCTTGACATAAAACAGGAAAAACTCGTTCGTGTAGTATGCGTTTAGGCCTTGCTTAAAAAATGGCTTTGACCTGTCATGAATATACACATTATAATGTTTACATTATACCATACATGTACTTTTCCTTTTTCTGGAATCTATACCCTTTTTAACACAAATCATACAAAATCAATTAACCCCAGGATCTGAAATTCAAAAGTAATAGAAAATAACGGACACAAGATGGTGAAAAGTACCAGGTGAATATTTTTAGTTTTGGACTGGCATGATCCTATAAACAGATATAGGCATGATCGAGCCTTTACATCACACATTAGACAGATGATTAGAATCGTAATATTCAATATGACATAGGTAGTATAGTTACCAAGAGAAGCATCAGTCGTGTCTGTCATTATAACAACTTTCTAAACTGTCGTTCGATCCACGTGATTATGGCTCCAGCAGCTCACCATACCTTTCCAGACTACTGTTCCAGCCTGGGGTTATACTTGAGATAACTGACGATAATTGACATGTGATTGGGGACATTCAGTCCTACGGAAACGCTTACGGGCAATGTTGTCTGGGAACGTGCACGGTCGAAGATAATGACTGTTTTGAAAGGATAAAGCGTCTCTTTTATATAACCTGACATACGAGAATAATGCCCGAAAATGATATACATTAAATGGGCGTGTTGAAGGGACGAGCCATTAGCCTGCATTCTGAGGATCCCTTTGTGCCCCAGAGTACCTTGTTAACTAGCCAACAGCCATATTCGATCAGAACAAGCGTTGTATGGTGCTGAAACGTTGCCCTATTTATTTATTGAATATAAACACAGCAGATACGCCTTGTGTTACCTTCTTGTGTTGTAACAAAACATAGCCATTATAAAATTCGTTGTTTCAAACGAAAATGTGTTTTCAAAAACATGCTGGATGTACATATAACAAAAGGTGCATTTTTTAAAGAAAACGTCTCGGGCTGTGGTGTAGCCTAGTGGTTAAAGCGTTCGCTCCTCACGCCGAAGACTCAGGTTCGATTCCCCACATAGGTACAATGTGTGAAGCCCATTTCAGGTGTCCCCCGCCGTGATCTGGATGGAATATTACTAAAAGCGGCGTAAAACCCAACTCACTTTCTCACCCTTTTGGTGTACACGCTGGTTATACGTGACTAGGGTCTTTTTGACCACTGGTATTGTCATGCGTTCTCAATGTTACATCTCGTGGTTATTCAGAAGAGAGTAGTATGTGAGCGCGTCCATGTTTCTTGTTCGTATTTTTTAATTAGAACAGAATTTAATAAACTGCCGACCAAAAGTGAGTGAGTATAGTTTTAGCTATATGGCGGCAGTCTGTAAATAATCGAGTCTGGACCAGACAATCCAGTGATCAACAGCATGAGCATCGATCTGCGCAATTGGGAACCGATGGCATGTGTCAACCAAGTCAGCGAGCCTGACCACCCGATCCCGTTAGTCGCTTCTTACGACAAGCATGGGTTAGTGAAGATCAATATTCTAACTCGTACCTTCGCGAGTAACGGACAAAAATAACAATTGTACATTGTATATCATGAGCATGTATTTGTTTGGTTGTATGGTTAAAGTCACAGTCAGCAGTATGACGGCGGTCTGCAAATATTCGATGCTGGTACAGACGAGCCAGTGATTCGCGTCATGAGATATAACGACAGATGTCATCCCCGGGTCTATAAAACTGTTTGAAAGCTTTACTGAGGCCTTGAATGCTGTACCCTTGATCTAACAACGTCTAAACAAGTCATATGACGCTCTCTGCATCACCAGAGGCTGGAGCTGTTAGATTATTGATCGAAATGAAGACACAGTTGACTATTGGGAAATTGAAATCTTGTGTAGAGATATTTGTCACTCTGTATCTTTATTTATAGATCTAAATATGAAACACATGAGGCAATCTCACTCGTTGAGATGGGTAAAACATGGATGGTTATGAACAATATTAGATCTTAATATATTATAATCAAACTTCTTGGACAAATCACCTTGTTTTGATCTTACCAACCTGGGCCCCGTTTCTCAAAGCGATCGTAGCGCTAAGATGATCGTAGCTCCCATACTTTAACATAGACTTACGACTGTCGTAGCGCTGAGGTGATCGTAACTCCCATACTTTAACATAGACTTACGACAGTCGTAGTGCTAAGATGATCGTAACTCCCATACTTTAACATAGACTTACGACAGTCGTAGTGCTAAGATGATCGTAACTCCCATACTTTAACATAGACTTACGACAGTCGTAGCGCTAAGATGATCGTAGCTCCCATAATTTAACATAGACTTACGACAGTCGTAGCGCTAAGATGATCGTAACTCCCATACTTTAACATAGACTTACGACAGTCGTAGCGCTAAGGTGATCGTAACTCCCATACTTTAACATAGACTTACGACAGTCGTAGCGCTACGATAGCTTGGAGGAACGGGACCCAGAGTAGACATTCTGTAAACCAGGACTGGGTGGTCAGGTTGATTTGGTTGATCCATGTCATCGTATCCCAGTTGCATAGATCGATGTTCATGGTATTGATCACTGGATCACTCCAATATTTACATACAGCTGGAATGGTTTGAGTGCGGCTTGAAACAACCAACCAACCAACCATCCAGCCCTAGCAGTCATTCTGCTTCATATGCATTACGAAACAGATCCGCAAGGAGGGCAGCAGATTCCTTCAGGTGTAAAAGGATAAATAGGTGTTAAAAGGCGCCATGCGCCCTTTGGTATCAGAAAGTATGTTGGACACAGACTTGCATGTACACAGTCAGGTCCTTAGGACTACAGTTGTGGATTCCCTGCCCTTGTTTTCTTGGGGGGCGGTGGAATAACTTAGTGGTTAAAGCGTTCACTCGTCACGCCGAGGACTCGGGTTCGATTCCCCATATGGGTACTATGTGTGAAGCTGATTTCCGGGGTCCCCCGCCGCGATATTGCTCTAATATTGCTAAAATCGCTTTAAAACTAAACGCACACACTCACTCACATTTGTTTTCAGTCTATTAACTTTTGTGTCTTTTTGGTCAAATCCAGTCGTCGGTAGTATACTTTCTTTTGCTATACTGTATATTTCACCGCTGAGCACAAAGAGTATGCCGTAGATATACGTCGGTATGCAAAGGTAATGATGCCCATGTGTCTTCTTTCAGACACTAACAAAGACGGCGTCATCGAGAAATCAGATTTTGAAGAGGCCATAAACGTGAGTATTGTCTCTCAATAAAGACCGCCTGCATGGTGTAGTGGCTGGAACGTCCGCCTGGAGTGCGGCAGGTCGCGGGTTCGAACCCCGATTGCGTCATACAAAATACGTTAAAATATGGTACTTGTTGGTCCCTGCCTGGCGCTCGGCATTAATTGGTACAACAAGGCATGGTCGGCTCAGAATCAGTATAATGTGTCTGAGTGGGGTATTCATGCTTCACTGTGGCATGGTATCTCAGTCAGCAAGCACTATAAAACCAGCTTCAGTCTGGGCTGGTACAAGAAGCCACACATACACACGCATGCACGTCGTCATATGAGCGAAATATTCTTAAGAATGACATTAAACCCCATTTCACCTGACCTCATAGAATATCATTTACTTACACAATTATTTTCTTTTTTCTATCTATATTTAGATCTTCCACAACGTAACACACTTTGTCTCGCAATCCCTGAACCATATTATTCCCTTTTCCGCTAAGACATATCATGTAATACAAAGCCCAAAGCAAGATTAGCATGAGATTCTGAATCACTAGAGCTAAATTCCAATATAAATACATATTTGCTTCTACGACGATTCTATATTTTCAGAGATTAAATCAAATAATTCCTTATTCCACCAACCTGCTTCCCACGTGAGATATTAAATCAAACATTTAAACAAATCACAGTTGAAAAGGTTTACTGAATTAGAAACATACAAAGCATCAAAGACAGATAATAACCAATCTCTATTACACTCTTCAAAAAAACAATCGTTGGACGTGAAAAGCAGATTAGTAAAGAGGGTAAACAAAGTTTGAGTAATCAAATCAGCACTCATTTAATAAGGCCACTTAATAACCTGTCTGACAATCCTCTATAACTCACGTCAAATCATCAATTACAAATAGTCCCAACCCTGTGTGTTGAAGTGAATTCACAAGAATAGAAACATGAAAAGGCACTCATACAAGGTTCATAACAGTAATTCTGAGTAAATATTGTTTTATGTCGCACACACATTCTTAAAGATATAAATGTGTGGAATAATACCTCATTGCATTATATACATGATTTTTCATCACCACTGTCATCATCATCATCATCAGCAGCAGCAGCAGCAGCAGCAGCATTTACAATCGTCGGCGTCGTTAAATCTATATATATGTTTAGCAGTACCAAAGCCACACCGCAAGCACGAAATGCCTCTTCCTCTTCATCAGCGTTGTCACCGTGGTCATTATTAGGGGCTGTAAAAAGCCTTGACATAAACACTAAGTGCCTCTATATATCCCCCCGGGGCGGTGGGGTAGCCTAGTGGTTAAAGCGTTGGCTCGTCACGCCGAAGATCCGGGTTCGATTTCCCACATGGGCACAATGTGTTAAGCCCATTTCTGGTGTCCCCCTCCGTGATATTGCTGGAATATTGCTAAAATCGGCGTAAAGCTAAACTCAGTCAGTCAGTCTATATATCCCCGATGCGATATGAACCTAAATTCGGCCTACGGTCTCGGGTTGGACAGGCTGCAAGTGATGTGAATACCACTCGTCATGACTTCCTGTCAGTATGTCGTTATTACCTGAACCCCAGACAACTGAATCATATTACCCAAGACAACTGAATCATATTACCCCAGAGCCATAGCAACAGGACTGACAATGTGATGAAGCGATGAAGTCCACTCCTCAAACTGCCCATCGCAAACCAAATGGGAAACGGAACAGGAATGTTTGCAGGGCCAGAACGACTTTATTCCTCACAAAAGATGCCACAGGAAACCAATTATCATGTCCTGTTGTTCAGAGCCCTCAACCAAACACTCTTCATGTCTATGACAATTTATTAGTAATTCAGTCTCGAGCGAATATTAAACTAAGTAGAAGATGGAAGCGTGAATTTGCTAATTCTAGTTCCTGACGTTGCTTGGAGCACAGCTTAGCAGTTCGTTGGTCCTGTGAAGGGAAATGGGGTTCGTTTTAATAAATGTACTTACCATAACTTTCCGTCGACCGGTATTTGCTGAAGCTAGTCATCAGACACGGGCAAGGGCAAAGTCCGAGAGCTGCTGGCCACATTACAGACGAACACTCTAGACCTGTTTCTCAAATCGTGTGTGGTTGCACTATGGGGAAGTACTATATAGTAAAACCTAGATGTTCTTTCATTCAGGGGATGCGTTTCTGGCCATATTACAGATGGAAATTAATATAATACTCTAGACCTGTTGTGCTGATATCCTCATACATGGTGATCATTATTTACATTAAATAATATTAATTAATTTTGATATTGAAAGGGACAACCTTCAAGTAGCACGTGCTAGTTGCAGCAAACCTCACAGCGACAAACAAGCCAAAACACAAAAGAGAAAAGGATTTTGTTCTGAAATTGAAAACAAAACATGACAAAACGTGAAAAGAAATACCCATTTTAGCAATTCAGCAAGTACAATAACATGTGACTGCAGATAGAATGCATAAATTTGAGCAAACGTGTTTTTCATAATTCTTTCCTATATTTGAGTGAGTTTAGTTTTAGTTTTAACTATTTATCATACCATATTTTCGGCATCCGTTGTCGTCATATACGGATATCGATGCAAAATTAGAGAGGTCATCTGCAAATTTTAGGGATTACCTTCACAGCGTAAACCAACATGGCGTCACGCCCATCTATCAGCGATCGTATCCGGTTTGACAGTCGAGGTTACGGTACTATCAGTGCTTTGATCAAAGAGAATTCATGTCTGGGTATGATAGATGCATGGAGTGGATTATGAAGACAGAAATTCATAGACTTACGCAGATACCAACACCAGTTCCCTGACCGTCAGTGTTAGCGAGCAAACGGCACAGGAAGCCAGGTGCATAATGCCGTCACGCGAACATTAAAGTGCATTTGTTGTTCAAAAGGTTAATAGAAGGTATCTGATGTTCCACACAAGTGCGTTGTTATTTTTCAAACGTAAGGTTTGTTGACAACAATACGTGCTTTAACATATATAGTCTTTATTCGTGTAAATGTAGGCCATCGGCCCATGGTACAACCTTATACATTGGCAGCCATCAAGCTGTAGCGACGACGATTGTTAGCATAAAAGATAAACATGGCAAGATTTCTGAAGAGGAGTAGCATTACTCATCTGTCGATTAAATTTACACAAGGTTGGATGGGTGAAAACATTGACAGGGATAAAACGTTTACGTAGATCATCATAGACAGTACAAATCAGTAAAAAGTGGTACTCATTTTCTACATAATTACAGGAACACATTTCACACAATCTTGAGTTTTTTGGTTTCTTTATATATCTACCAGTTTCTATATTCAGTTGATGTGAACTACACCTGAACCTCGCTTAGGCAATACGAAATTTCTTGATAGTTATGCAATGGAGATATGGCTCAACACCAAAAATAAATTTAAATTGAGAATATAGGTAAGTTTTTGAGCCACTAGACAACGAGGAATGCCATTCCTGTAAATATGTGTTTTGGGCTCTGGATATGAATTCAGAAATAAAAAGATTTATATTAGGAATAAATTGATTTTCCCATACGTATCCAAAACCCATTGTATACAATAGATTTTTTAACTTTGATGTCCAGTTAATTTTACCATTTGAAGCATCTAACAGTAATAAATTGTAACATTTCTTAGGGAAACGTATAGAAGGCATATTTAACAGTTTGTACCAATACATAATACAGCGTTTGTACGCAAAAATATACATAGGGTATCTCCCGAATTCGCCACGTACAACGTGGTTAGGGGTACATAGTTTAACACAGAGTAAGTATTTACAAGCTAGGGTATGCACTGTTTCAATGGATGAATTACAATCACAGTCTAGACCCCATACTTCGCTACCATAAAGCAAAATAGGCATTACTTTAGTGTCAAAAATTCTGAAGAAGACATCACATTTCATGTGCTCGAATTTTGATAAACTTTTCAAAATACCGAACAAAGCCTTTTTAGATTGCAAAATAGAGCTCTCAAAAGGTTTATGCCATGACAATGTTTGTGAAAATACTATTCCCAAATATCTATATGAAGAAACGCACTCAATTAATTTACCTCCTAGATACCATTTTTCGTGCTTAGTAAGGATGCTACCATTTCTAAACACAACAATTTTAGATTTATCTAAGTTGACATATAGCTTGTATTCCTTGCAATGCTGTTCAAGGACATTAATACGTTTTTGTAGCCCATAGATGGTGTCAGAGAATAGAGTGACATCATCAGCAAATAGAAGGAAAAAACAACTGAGTTAATTCTGGATGTAACTGTATGCCCGGATAACACAACGATTCAATACTATCAGCTAAATCGTTTATAAAAATGGAGAACAAGAAGGGACTCAAGACACATCCTTGACGAACTCCAATATTACAGTCGAACAACTGTGAAAAAGAATAATTGACTTTAACGCAAGATTTAACACAACTATAGATGGATTTGATGCAACCTAACATAAACACGTACTGGGAACTAGATGATCTAACGCAGTCATTTGAGTGATCAGTAGGGAATTTTGTAACGTGACCTAACGTATTACTACGCACATATTTGTGACGTCATAGATATCTGGGCAAATTCGACAAAGTTTAGTTTCATGGTTTGTGGCAGTTCAAATGGCATATTGTTTAAATCAAAAAGTAAGAAAGACATTGTATGGTACATAGGTTATCACACTCGTGTGCTTTGGGATGGTGAATATCCTGCTTAAGGAATAAACGCTATGTATTTAGCTCGCCAAGGCGTGATAACCAATATTTTCCAGCAATATCACGGCTGGGTACACCAGTAGTGGGCTTCACACAATGTACCCATATTGGGGAATCTTATCAGGGTGTTATTCCACTAGGTTACCCCACCACCCCTCCAATATTTGAAGGGGCAGTGGTGTAGCCTAGTGGTTAAAGTGTTCGCTCGTCATGCCGAAGACCCGGGTTCAATTCCCCACATAGGTACAATTGGTGAGGCACAGTTTTGGTGTCCCCGCCGTGATATTAATGGAATCTTGCTCGAAGCGGCGTAAAACCAAACTTACTCACACTCACTCCTATATTTGAACACATATGATTCACAAAATAAACACCATGCTCGATGACGTGTATTTGCTAGCATCAGGATCGTTCATGTGTAGTTACCTGCCTCAGACTCGTCCACTTGGACTATACAAGCATCATGCTAAATGGTGTGCATTCACAGCATCAGGCTCGTCCACTTGGATTATAGAAGCATCATGCTCAATGGTGTGCATTCACAGCATGAGGCTCGTCCAACTGTGTTTGCAAGCATAATGCTCGCTGGTGCAAGTTTACCAGGATTCTGCTCGTCAACGATTGCTAAATAGTGCAAGTAAGAGTCGACTATCCTTTCGATAGGTCATTGATTTTGATTCAATGCTGTTGTGGTTCTGAGACCACTTGCAAAACACACACTCGGTACCACAATTATTGTAAATGCTAACGACCGCGATCTTAGGCTACAATCGCCATCTACTTGCACAAACTGACTGTAGGCTACGATCACTGTTAGCTATAATCGAAACTTACAAGTGGTACAATTGGCAAATGGGCACTTGTTCAACAACGACATAAAGACTACCAATTGCAGATCATACATTTACGTATTGTGAAATATTCTTCTTTGTTTATTTACAATATTTTTATTTTCAAAATATTTATGTCAATATTTATGATCAATTTATACACATATCTACTTATATATGAAACACAAATAGGGATTTATCTTGAGAAATCCAATTTGCAGTTCCAAAATCATGACAGCACAAGTGCAGAAAAAATGTATGGTACAAACCATCCCTTCCGAAGATTTGGACCTGTTTTAGATCCGAGCAAGGTGCGATGAAGGGAATTACTGGCTGTGTATCGTAAACGTTTCCACTATTTGTATGCGCAGCAAGCTACAATATGTACGTTTGCAGAGAACGGAAGTTAGGAGTCTAGTTTATGTCGTATCTCAACCATTGAGGAGTTCCACCAATTGCATATATTTCATTGGTGTAACCAGGAACATTCATTCATTCATTCATCCTTTATTCCTTTATTCATTCATTCATTCATTCATTTATTCATTCATATTGAATCAGTGTACTCGGGGTCACAATCATAATGTTCCAGGGGCACATCAGCCACTCACTTACTAACACGTTACTTCTTGCCTTCCAGAAAATCTGTCACATCCACGGCTGGCCCAAAGGAGGCGAGAAGTACCAAGAGGCTCAACAAACGCTCAGCCTGATATGGGAGGGACTGAAAGGAATCGCTGACGAAAACAAGGTGAGACGTTTCCTCAATGATTACACAATGCCATTCAGAAAGTGGTCAAATGAAACATATGTTATATTTGGGATTACTCATTCTTAGTAAAGTACAGATTCTTGTACTTTTGTTGGGTTGAGTCCTATCCGGGATTCGAACCCACACCCTCAGAGTCAGGCACCTAATCGCCAGCACACAAAGTCAGCCGCGACTTCCACTTCCAAATGTTTTCTCAAGGGTCCCATATATAGGCTTTTGCAAATTTAGACGGGGCTACAAAAGCTCTCGACATGCACCATGTATGAAGATGAAGATGTATCGAAAACTTCAAACTTTAGTTCAAATTAGTAGTACTCTGCATATCAAATATAGAAAGCTTACATCAGAATACAGATAAAAATATTTTTCTGGTATACGGTAAAGTACGTTTATGATGAACACACTTATAACGAACTGGCGGATATATCAATGTCTTTGGGTCCAGGCTCGTTGTACACTGTAGTCGAAAAACTACGGTTATATCGAACTAAAATGAGTGGCCCATTGCGTTCATTATAGTTTACTCTCTGTCAAAAGTCCAGTGTTTCTCAGATCAAGGCTTAAATGACTGACTGACTGACTAAGTTTGGTTTTACGCCGCTTTTAGCAATATTCCAGCAATATCACGGCGGGGGACACCAGAAATGGGCTTCACTCATTGTACCCATGTTGGGATTCGCTCATTGTACCCATGTTGGGATTCGAATCCGGGTCTTCGGCGTGACGAGCCAACGCTTTAACCACTAGGCGCCCCACCGCCCCCGGCTTAAATGATGTCTGTGTTGGTGTTATTGTTATAGCAGAGTGTCACACAGATCTGGGTATGGAAATAGTAATACGTGACAACTTCCTTTATTCTTTGTTGGCCTCTCTTGCTCCTTCAGTAGGTGAAATCTGGAGAACCGTATTTGATGAAGGAACCAAAAGTAGCTCTGGAACGCCATGGCAAAAAGCATATAGTCGTTATCCAAAAGGGCCAAGTATTCATGTTATACCACCTTCTAAATGCCTCCCAGAGACTTTTTAAAAATACAGTTGAAATGGTTATATTTTTTATCTACCCTTTGATACCATCCAGAATATTTTCATTTTGTTGAACCCAGAGACTCTTGCCGAAAGGTTCAATTTTTTTATTTTTTTTTTTATTTTATTTATTTTTTATTCCATTTCAAGTCTCACATAAAATACATATGGCAAAGAGGACAACATCCAAATATATATGTATATAGCTTCAGTGATGTTTTGCAAGGTTCTATATGACATAAAAGACAGTATTGCAAACATATACACACACGCGCACACATACATATATACATATACATACATATGCACATACATACACGCATGTATACATATATATAAATATAACATCATGAGATTACAACAATTATATCGATACATAAGATGTCATTAAAGTTTCTGTGGAGGGAATATGAAATTGGAGGGGTAAGGTTGAATAGTATGGTTGTAGTGAGTAGGGTCTGGAGGTCTCAGCTGATATTATAAGTAGAACTTAATGTTTAGCACATAGTAAGGTATATAAATGTTTCCATTTCCTGATAAAGGGATCTAAGCTATTGTTTTTCCTAGCTATAGGAAAGGTTCAAATTAGTTGTGAGGCATCCGTCCATGCCATCAGCAATGGAGGTAGCGTCATCACCCATGCACAAAGCAATCATTAAAGATGGTAGCAGTATTTCTACACAGGAAATAAATGTGAACGAAGACAGGGTATCTCCTTGGCAATGTCCTCCATACATTTACAAAATAATATATACCACTTCCATGTAATATTTAGTACGGAAAACGGTGGTCCACCTTTCAAATGAATTGCCAAAGGCAACATTTCTAAACTGGCTAAAACGGACCAACAGACAGTTTTGAAGTCAAGGTCGACAAGCAATAATTGTACTTGAATTGATGGATGTCAGTGGAGTCTACTACGCCGTATATTTTTCTTGTGATTTCTCGAATCTATCCCCCAGACATCACTTATAATAGCAAATTGAGCACTGTTTAGCTCCATGCGAGTTTGCATAGATCCATTTTATATAACTCGGGAAGGAGTGATGTAGAGGTATGGTTTTAAGGAGCCTCTTTGGTCTCTTACTCTTAGGGATGCAAGTACTTAAACCTTGACGTGTCCTTGGGGCAAATTCTAACGACTAATAAAGTCCTTTAAACATCTTTCCAAAAGGAATTCAATAACTTCAGCTTTACATAGATTCCATGTGAAACTGGACTATCATTCTTCAGCTCTGAAACCGTTGTCTCGATTTGCAACGCCTGCAAAGTTTCAGACTGAGGTGTTGAAATGTAACACCTGACACTTGAAAACATATCTAAGTTAATGTACGAGTTTCGTGTTTAACACAATGTTATAGTAACTTCGAATTACTACTTGCTTGTCATCCTGTTTAATAATCACGCTTGCCAAAGAATCTTCTATATTCCTTTTTGATATATAAAATCAATTTCTAGATTTTAGTCCTTGAAAGTATTTATGCGATTTCTGTCGTTTAGATTTATTTTTGAATTTGGAGCATGATAGTATATTTTGAGTGTATATGAAGTCAAAGACCTCCAACTTTTCATTTTTACTATCAATTTCAAGTTCTTACTGGTTCCTGTTTGGTCTGTTTTATTTCATTTGGGGGAAAACTTGTTAAAGGTGATTGAGTACATCTTTGTATAACGTCCTTGCTTTTTGGGGCATGAATATTGAATGCTTCTCCATAACGACTAAATGATATTTACTGGCTGATAGTAAAATCATTAACGCAATCTTAATTACTGTTCCGATTTTGATGAGGTGGTTTAATATCACATTATAGTAGATTAACAACATAAGAGTCTTTTTAACGCAAATTGTTTAGTTTACAGAAACCGTTTCCACACTCTAGTAATCTAAAAGTTATTGATATTAGGGAAAATTCCATTTGAAGCTGGGTTCGAATTCTGCTCCAACAATACATGAAATCACGTTGAGAGAAACTGGAAATGTTCAACACGTGCATTTGTAGTCGGGGTTTAGTTTTGTCGCCAGTGTGCCGTTCTCCAAATGGACCTTTCATTGAGTTAATACTTGACGCCGCATCAGTTTAATCTTAGCCATATAGTGACGAGACCAAGTTCACAAATACAGCCCCTCCCATATCAGGCTTAGCGTTTGCTGAGCCTCTTGGTATTTCTCGCCTCCTTTGGGCCAGCCGTGGATGTGACAGATATTGTGGAAGGCAAGAAGTAACGTGTTGTAGTCCGTTGTAAACGACACATTGGGAATCATTGTTTTATACTTTAACATACACATCTTAGCATTACAATATTATTTACCATTGCAAACAAGAACCAGCAAATCCCCTCCTCTCCTCCCCTCGTAATAAATAGCGAAAAGTGACAACAAAATAATGATCGTTTGTTAAACAACTTTTTTATTCGGGTGTCCAAAATTATGAGACAAATCATCAGAGTTGGCCTGTCGATTTCATGTGACTGTGCAAAGTTTGATTTTGTTGCATTTATTAGATTTTGTGTTAGTGAGCAATTCATCGGTCTCAAATGAAGTCAAACGGACTGTAGGACAAAATGTCAAACGGGGAAGCGTTTCAGATTAGAACATATGATTTGACATCGATTTCTCCGAATAAGAACAAAGAACAGATCATCGTACTGCTATTGCAATTTGCTGAATAATTCAGAGGTTTGTCAAATGAAAGGTGACGAACTGATACCAATGCACTCTGACATTAGGTCCCCGTGGAGCTTCCTGGCAGTGTTAAGCACCAGGCCCGATTTGTAAATCGTTGGTTTATTGATAACGCATGAATGTCAAAGGAACTTATCTTACCAGCGTGCCTAATGTTCTCCAGAGAAGGTAATGGTCTAGGATGATGGCTCTGAAGGTACTCATTATGGGGTCATTAATCTGTATCATTTACGAGTCGCTACTAGCCATGAACAACAAGTGGATCATATTGGTTCAGACAAGAGTTAGTATGGACGTTTCAGAAAGTTCACTTGATGAAGTAGATTTCAACCCTCTTTAACCTTCGCCGATTTAGGTCAGCGTTGTCAAAAGTGAAAACCACAGTAGACATTCATGACAGATAATGGCAAGGTTGTAGAAACCGATATTAGTGCTAAATAGATTCGTAATTCCTGTTACAGACTAAGCGCTAAAGGTCATTTCGTACAAAAGCATAATTGCATTTTTCTTTACAAGGAAAAATGTCAGTGCAAAAAAAGTTAAGGATCTTTTTAGCAATATTAATTTTCATTGAATTATTGAATTTGCAAAAGAAATTGAACAAACTGATAAATTTTGATTGATATGTTTTGTATATAAATATATATTTTATTATTGGTAGTCACATTAGCAACTACGATTGTTAGTGGCGGTATCCTCAACGGAGGTTGAAGTACCGTAACATTATTGTACTCCTAGGAGGATACGTAAGCCCCCAAACATTCGAAGTGAAATTTAATCTTCCACATTTTTACTCGTAGTATTGTTGTCATTTTAGTTTGTGGCTAAATTTGCTCACCAGCAGCTGAAGTGATGGTGTAAATCCAGCTGGGGTCCATGCAGTTTGCAAAGGCGCACAAAGTCCCCACGGTCCCTAGTATAGTGATCTACCTTCAGTGGCTGGCGATCTATAGGCTGTTTTTATATTATGTACTGTCCAAATACTAGTAGTGATATTAGTTTTAACTTCACATGCTAGTTTTAATTCGAACTGTGATTGTCTAGTTGTTTTATTGTCCTTTTGACGACAGGCTTTTATAATTTATACATATTCTTTAAAAACGTCAAAACTATTCTCGTCACGATATGGGTGAAACATTGCCTATGTGACGTTAAATATTAACTCACTCACTCACTCGTACAAAAGCATCCGTGTCTGTCCCAAACTGCTAAACTTTACATGTATGCCTTACGTTAACGTTCAAACTCAAATTGCATCTTAAGTAAATGTGCACATTAGAGATATGACAAGGTGAGGTGAGGTGACATAAAATGGAGTTTAACGTCGTTCTTGAGAATATTTGGCTCATGATAACGACGTGCATGCGTGTGTATATGCGGCTGCTTGCACTAGCCCAGACCTACCTAAGCTGGTTTTATACTGCAAGCTCACTGAGATACCATGCCGCAGTTAAGCATGAATACACCACTCAGACACAGTATACTGACTCCGAGCCGACCAGTCCTTGTTGTACCCATTAATGCCGAGCGCCAAGCAGGGACCAACAAGTACCATATTTTAAAGTCTTTTGGTATGACGCGGTCGGGAATCGAACCCGCGACCTTCCGCTCTCCCGGCGGACGCTCTAACCACTACACCACGGAGGCGGTAGACATGATAAAGATATATATTGGTACCAATATATTCCGATGCTGTACCGATGTTTGGAATGGAATCCGGGGAGTTCCAACGCGTAACTTATTTGGCCATACAGCTGGAATGTTGTTGAGAGCAGCGCTTAACAACAAAGATTTAACCATCAGGTTTCCCCGAAGTCAGGACGTGATACGTGTAACGTAATTTCGAGTTCAATGTCACCAGACAAATGAAACATTATTTTCACCAGAGGTATGAAAACTATCTTTTTTTTTAAACAAAACAAATGAAAATAATATTTTGTCATACATGTTGTAGGACGACATGGTGACGAAGGACGAGTGGGTTCAGATGTGGTCGTCGTGCGTTCGAGACGTCAGCTCGGGGGAAGGTTTTCCGCACTGGCAGAAGAAATACATGGATTTCATGTTCAGAGTTAATGACACGTCAGGTGAGCTACATTTCAGGTGCGCTATAGTTCAGGGGCTCCTTTCACGAAGCAACCTTTACTGAGGTTAACCGTAACTCCCATTCTTTAATATTGCACTAAGGTTACCTTAGTGACTTACGATCACAGGCCCTCGTGTCTTTGCGAGGATTAAAGATTAAAAAAATAATAAAAAATACATAAACCCCCGACTCGAAATGCTTCACAGTACAATAAATCATGATGTATTGCACTGTGAAATGTTTCGAGTCTTGGGTCATCTCAAAAAACAATATTGTTTTAACCTTTAATCCTCGCAAAGACACGAGGGCCTGTGCTTACGATCACCTTAGTGCTTTGTGAAAGGAGGCCCAGGTGAGCTATAGTTCACGTTACTGTGCAAGGTCATCCTTATTTCTCCCTGTGAAATGTACCTGTTGCCAAGAGGCTCACATCGATGATGTTATGATGCTAACACCACAATGGGTACCGTACAATGAAAAGTTCACCACGAGTTGTCTGGTGCATGATGTCATTGTATCCCATGGTTGGCGCGTCGAATCGATATGCCGAATTCGACCGAGTCGTATCATCTGAGTGATTAATCGAATTCAACAAAAGCCCGCTCGAACCCGCGTCGATCGTGTCGCGTGTGTGTAGAGCCTAGTTATTCGTCAAGTTGGATCTGGCGCGGCCAATCAAATTGCATTTTGTGGTCACGTGGTAAATGTTTACATACAAGCGCGAAACATGGCTTCGTCTGCTTCATGGCTTCGTCTGCTTCATGGAAACCACGCCTTTCAAGTTCTTTTATGAGATGGTTGAATGCTCCGTGGATGTCGCGACGGAGAATCTAATCTTTTCTCTTTTTCTTCGCTTTGGCATTGCCGTCTTCTTCACATAGTATCGCGCAGCAGATAACTGCTGCTAAGTCTTCTTCGGACATTTGATACCATGGAGACAAAATACCGCGAGATACTATGATATCGACACAAATATCCGTAGATCGAATCGTGTGAGAGGTAGCAAATCGATCAGACGATATTCGTTACAACCACCGAACATGTTGTACAAAGTATGAAAATCTGCAGGTCGTTAGACGTGCCGTCCTGTGTGAGTCACGCTTCAGAATTGGTCTTCAGCAACATAATTGACTGATTGACTGACTGACTGACTCGCTGACTGACCCGACTTGGTCAGTCAGTGAAGAATTGGTCTTCAGCAACATGACCGACTGACTGACTGACTGACATGCTGACTCGCTGACTTGGTTAAAATTGGGGAGACGATTAGCCCGTTACTACCGCTACAGGCGTAAGACAAGCCCTATCCCAAGTCACGGTTTGCCGTAGTGGCCCGGAACCAAATCTGTGATTTTGACATGAAGACGGCTCCTGTTGACGATCAAACAAGTTTCGTCGTATCCGTTGTCGTCATATCCCAATTGCGTAGATCGATGCTCATGCTGTTGATCACTATATTGTCTGGTCAAGACTCTATTATTTACTGATCCCCGCCTTATAGGTGGAATATTGCTGATTGCTGCGTTAAACAACAACCAAACCAAACCCATGGAGACGTAAATTTGAAATAATGCATTGTTGCAATAATGACAAATTTTATTGATAACAACCTGTTTTTTAAGTGTGACGTTTGCCTACAGGATCTGGTACTGCTGTCAAGTGGGAATTCCTACAAGATTCTGAACCTAAACACCGCACTCACGAAATAGAAATACATGTTATCCATAAAATGTGTCATTATTGCACTAACCAATTTTTAAAATGCCACTCATAGAAGAAATGCCCGTTGGCCATTCATTATATACTAGGGAACATTTTGTGAGGTGTGAGGGGACCGTGACACTTTATTGAGAGGTGAGGTGAGGTGAGGTGAGGTGAGGTGAAAATGGGTTTAACGTCGTGCTGGAGAATATTTCGCTCATATGACGACGTGCATGCGTGTGTATGTGCGGCTGCTTGTACTAGCCCAGACTGAAGCTGGTTTGACAGTGCTAGCCCACTGAGATACCATGCCACAGTGAAGCATGAATACCCTACTCAGACACATTATACTGACTCCGAGCTGACCAGTCCTTGTTGTATCTATTAATGCCGAGCGCCAGGCAGGGACCAACAAGTACCATATTTTAACGTCTTTTATGACGCGGTCGGGGATCGAACCCGCGACCTTCCGCTCTCCGAGCGGACGCTCTAACCACTACACCACAGAGGCGGTCTTTATTGAGTGACGTAAAGACAAGTGTACTGTACTGATTTTCTCATCACATCTGATCAATAGATCCCCGATGAATGTTTCAGAATTTCGTAGGGGCGGTGGGGTAGCCCAGTGGTTAAAGCGTTCGCTCGTCACGCCGAAGACCCGGGTTCGATTCCCCAAGTGGGTACAATATGTGAAACCCATTTCTGGTGTGCCCCGCACTGATATTGCTGCAACATTGCTAAGAGCGGCGTAAAAATATACTCACTCATTCACTTTTCGTCCATAAAAATGAAACATAACAAATAACATAAACCTCCATTTAAAGTCGTATATGTTTAAAAGAAAATGAACTGATTGGTATATTTATGTATATAAGTTTTTTGTTAGAAATTAAGTTATATTGTTTCTGGTGTACACTCAACGTGGGTTAAGTTGTGTGTTTGGTCTTAACCCGCTGAGAAGCTTAAGGTTTCGTAATACAATGTCATTCGCGGCGTTATACTCCCACTATTGTTGTAAATGAGACGTTAATTGATAGCTCAAATGTTTAACAGTCGTCAGTATCTCTGCAGGTAGAACGTCCATGCGTTTCCTGGCACGGCGGGACCCGTGAAGGTCCAGGAGTAGAATAGGTCTTCAGCAACCCATGCTTGCCACAAAAGGCGACTTTGCTTGTCGTAAGAGGCGACTAACGGGATCAGGTGGTCAGGCTCGCTGACTTGGTTGACACATGTCATCGGTTCCCGATTGCGCAGATTAATGTTCATGCTGTTGATCACTGGGGTGTCTGGTCCAGACTCGATTATGTACAGACCGCCGCCATATAGCTGGAATATTGCTGAGCACGGCGTAAAACTAAACTCACTCACTCACTGGTACGGCGGCCTCGTTGTGATTGCTGGCGACCTTTGGCCCGTTTTATTAAATTTATTTTAAAATAAAGTTTCTTTTTCATATTCTCCCAGACTAGTTCCAATGAAATGAAACCTGTGATAATATGGTTTAATTTACTTTTCTTCAACGACAAGTTTTGAATAGTTTAAATGTGTAAATCTTCTTGTCACGATATGGCCGAACGAACTGTGACGTTGAATTTAACTTAAGAAATGATCCTAATATATTTAAAGCGGCCTTATCAGTTTCAAAATTTTGCTGACATAATCATTATAATATCATGATACGAATACAATACATGAGATCACCAACAAATCAATGACGTTAAGAATCTCTAACTTTTTTAATGTTAATAAAACTCATTTCCACGACGACCAAGATGATGACAAAATTAGAGAAAAAAAGGCAAATTAAAAGTATGTCGCAAAAGGGTGAAATACGGAATGCTTCCAATTTATTCTGAACCGCTGTCTGATGACCTCATTTTTTCATTACTGCTTGTGACAGGCTGGGACGGCAGCGAGAGCTATAAGAGGCTTTTTTCGACATTAACTTTGTATCTATCGATCAAACCCTTTTATCAAATGCTTTAGGTTCTAAAACAACCCTGACATTCCAAGCTAATGACGTCAACATTAATTTCCACAGACAACGTTGTAAATGGTATGATGGCGGAGAGGTCAGTCAGAAACGGGGAGACAGAACGTTGTCCTGTCAGGCACGGTATTAAAACATAACTGCAGGAACGTGACCCACGCTATGAAATTACCAGATTTTTCTTGGAAAGTGCGGGGCGGTGGAGTGGCCTAGTGGTTAAAGCGCTCGCCGTCACCCCGAAGAACCGGGTTCGATTCCTCACTTGGGTACAATGTGCGAAGCCCATTTCTGGTGTTCCCCGCCGTGATATTGCTGGAATATTGCTAAAAGCGGCGAAAAACTAAAGCCTTACTGTTGGAAAGTTGGAAAATTGCATACACGCGTGATTTTGTTTCAAAACTTATCCCCAAATATCTGTTTTAATTCAATGTTGTGATTGGTTGGTTGGTTGTTAAACGCCACGCTCAGCAAAATTCCAGCGATATGAGATCGATGCTCATGCTGTCGATCACTGGATTGTCTGGTCCAGACTCGATTATTTACAGACCGCCGCTACGAAGCTGAAATATTGCTGAGTGCGGCGTAAAACTAAACTCATTCACTCATACAATTAACTGTTTCATCTGCCGGTGACTCCTGTCCATAAACCAACGGCACTGCAAAAACCGCCTCTCAGGTCGACAGGATGCTTACCCTGGCATCGGAAGTTGTTCCACGATTACGGACAAGTCTATTTGACAGATAGCTTCATTACGCTCTGACAGTGAACCCAAACTACAGTTCGACTTAATGTCTCTTTTGCCACCTCTTTGGGATGTTGGGAGTATAATGGCGTATTCTCTGAAGCGAAGAGGTGAAAAAACTTTCACGTACCTGTTTCGCGTGTAGGGGAGTAATTCTATTTACAGATGCGCCGTCAGATGATTCCTCTGTGCTGTCAACAAAGCGTCCCCTGTGACAAGTCGGTCGATAATAGATCGGCCTATACACGCCTAAAAGAAAGCATTTACAACAAACATGTTCCAAAGCGATGGATGCCGAGGGTTTTTTCAGGCGCACATTTTGATACGGTTTGAAAAGTGAAAGTTGTGCGAGAATTGCGGTCGCGTGGTCCTGGATCTACGTACGGCTATACAATTACACAGAAATGTAGAATATTATATTTCCTATCCCTTAGTGCAGAGTCTTCCTCGGTTTGAGAAATAGACCTTGCTGAATGTTGTCCAAAGTTTGTTATACGTTAAAAAACAGTAAATTTATCCGCTTTTTATCGCGCACCGATAAAAGCACTATGCTACGAATGTTGATATATTCAGGATCCGGTTGTATCATTGCTACATTAACTAATGTCAACATTAAACCCTAATGATACATTAAATCCTTAATGCATCATTAGTTAATGGCAACATTAAACACGGTTGTATCAAACACTTATTAGCGTATCATTATCTAATGACGTCCTAATGTAAATATTTTCATTAAATCCGGGGATTCCCCTAATCTTTTCCCACAATTCCGTGCTGTAAACATGTAAGTGTTACTCTCAGTCGTCTGTCAAAATGGCATCTTTAGGGCTAAACCCCTCGGAACAAAAAACAAACATTTCGACTGCTGTGAAGAAACACGTCTAAATAATTCTGAAGAGTCGCCGATAAACCTAGAATCAGTTGGGATGTTTTGGAAAATACACGAACACGATCGCCGAAGTGAGCTTGACGCCATATTGGATAGTGTTTACAAAATCAAGTTTCGCTAAGGCCAGTCATAGGACGCCTATTACATCATGTATATTTCATATTCAGTTGTGACAAATGCATCGCTGACTTCCTCATACATTTTAGAATCAAATTCCAAATGGTCTTTGTCACTAAAACCAAGTGTCTAAGAAAAAGCGAAACATATTGGGTGTGAAAACGGGACGTTGTGCTCATTACACACCGCTTGCTAGAAATATAAACAAAGCAAAAATCAGATTTTATACTGTGCAGCATTTTCTCATTTTTTTAGACATCAGTTTGTCTACTCGTAGCATGCATGAGCTCAGTATTTTTAGAAAATGCACGCAAAGAGTATCGTAGCAAGAACTAGAAAACTTAAAACAGATACAATACTGAAATTTGATATATTCATACGAAAGTTCTGTGCAGCGTGACGCCATGTGAGACGCAAAATCATGGAGAACGACATAGGCAATTATCGGCATTTCTGACATTTTCAATGAAAACAATAAAAACAAACAACCATACGCAGATAGTCAGAATGTTTCCGATTACTTACATCTTACATTTATGGACAAAGGTTCCCTCGCAAAATCGTGGGCACTCATATCCACGAAGCCGCCATTTCATGAGAAATCTGTCATCGGTAGTGATGTCATACATCAACATTGTTGGACATATGTGGCAATTTCTTTGAGATGAAGGTCGGTTGAATAAGAGTAAACACAATCACACTGTCCTGCGGATTACACTTGCATTCTTAATGTATACTTTGCGTATCGTTCACATATGGTTTCATGAAACTAATTTCATTATCAACATTTAGTATTTTAAACTAAGTAAACTGACTTAATAAATTAAAATGATTTATTTATTTCATGAAATGTATATATGCACACGTTTTTAAAGGATATGTCTTGTTCATTTAATTTGTTTATGTTGTGTTATAGACAAAACAATGGCGTATAATCATTGGCTAGGTGCGCGTTTGTCACAAATGTTTTGAGTATCATTGTTTTCGATAAATTCTGTGAACAAAACATCACGAAGATATTGTGTCCTTATTCACAGCAAATTCTCGCTAAGTGATCTGAGTTACAATGACTTAGTATTAAGCATACCGGAGTGAGGCCCCCTTATCTTTAAAAGCGTGTGACCTTTATGTAGCCATTTGACGTCATAGGGAAAATCCATTTTCAACACATATTGCGAGTCACTTTTAAGATTGAGTGTATAACGTTATACATAAGCACACAAACTAATTAAATACATACCTATGTCATTCAGGTATCAGGCAGAATCTTGTTCGCTCACACTTTCCGTAAAGATCCCAAATTGAAAATATAGTAGCACAGTACTTTTATCAGTGCACGATAAAAAGCAGAGAAATTTATTGTTTTTAACGCAAAACAAAATTAGGCGTAACATTTAGCAATGTCTACTTTTCAAACTGAGTTTATACCATGAGATACGACATTTAATACTCTACATTTCTGTGTAATTTTATAGCTGTAGGTAGATTCAGTGCGGCGCAAACGAAATTCTGGCGCAATGTTCACTTTTCCAGGAAGTTTAATGACGCTCTAATGATACCCCAGGACCTTCATTAAGTTAATGACGCACTAATGACAACAGAGCATCATTAAAACGTTAGTACAACAGAATTTAATGATACATTAGTTAATGAACGTTTAATGGCACGTTAATGCTTCATTAAAGTTTGATACAACCGGGTCCAGGTGAGATATACTAATCAGCATACCAATGTCGTCTTTTTCCGACGTCACAAAATGCATAAAACAAGCAATGACGTCAACTAAAATGTTGTATTATTTTCAGCAATTTCATTACATTTGAAGATATGGCTAGTACTCTGGTAATAACGATGCAAAATTAGTCAAAATTCATCTACGCAAACAGGAGAATATGGGAATCTACGAACTAACTTATATATCAGATAGGGCCATCCAAATCGCTATTACGTGATTTCACTTGTAGTATGTTGTCATCTTTTCTTATAAATTGTGAAACTACCAAAGCGTATCCGCTCACATTGGGGAACTTTGAATTGGAATAGTTTGGTTCACCGTGACCAAAAGATACAAAAAATATAGCGTCAGTATCCACAACAAATTCTCTCCAACTGATATGAGTAACATTGACCTAGTTCTACGCATAACCGAGTTATGACATCGTTTGACGTCATACAAGAAAATTCATTTTTGACATTTATTGCGAGTCATTTTTAATGTTGATCGTATAACGTTATGCATAAGCACATATACCCAATTCATATACACTTATGTCGTTCAGATATCAGCCTGTATTTTCTTCGCTCACACTTTCAGTAAAGATGACAAATTTAAAAAATCGTAGCACAGTGCTTTTATCGGTTCGCGATAAAAAGCGGATAAATTTACTGTTATTTAACGCATAACAAAAATTTGGACAACATTTAGCAGGTCTATTTCTCAAACCGCCGAGGTAGTTGCACTTATATTTATACCAACGGATAGGAAATTTAACGTTCTACATTTCTGTGTAATTTTATAGCCGTACGTAGATCCATGACCACGCGAGCTTCAATTCTCGCACAACGCTCACTTTTCAAACCTTATGAAAATGCGCGCCTGAAGAAAAACTCGGCTTCCAGGGGGTTAAGTTCTGAAAAGTGACGTTAAGTTCTGAAACTTGACGTTAAGTTCTGGAACGTGACGTTAAGTCTTCCATTGCAAAAGGTCGCCTCAAACGATAAGATTTTAAAGATGGTACTTGTAATCCTGCCTGGCTCTGACCATTCAGGGAATAAAACAATAATCGGCTTTGTTGGGCCGGCCTGCTTATTAGGGTGTCAGGTTGAAACACTATCCATACTGATGTTAAATTCAGCCAAATAGCCCATCATTTCAGGTAAAAAGAAATATATGTCTAATTTCAGTGTAATGGCTTGTAATTCGGGTACTTACATTCCTAATCAAAATGTGTAAATATCTTGTTTACAAAACTTGTTTCCTCAGTAAACATGTTCAACTAAAAAATCAATATATTTCAAAACGTACTTATATATAATTGTATATTTCATATATGTTTACATGAATGGTTTTATGGATGTCGATGTATATTCGGGAAAACATACATGTAACAAACACTAATGCATTTCCAACAGGACCTGAGCCAGTTATTTCAAAAGGTCATTTTTTTCAGAATGAAATGAATTATTGTTGCAGGACCACGAGGATCAACACCTCAATTATCCAAATATTTTTTTGGTTCTGTTGGATTACACTTCTGACTTTTTGATCATTGGTCTTTCCTCTCCACAGGCGACAACTACATCGACAAGAAGGAGTACACCACAATCTATACGTCCTTCGGCATCGACAAAGAAGAGTGCGAGTCTGCGTTTGATCATCTAGCCGACGTGAGAGACATACTAGTTACGATAGCATCGCTTAATGCCCCAACCCTTCCGTGGGGTGATTATAGGACTGTAAAGGATTACGAAATGTTTGATTGTCTCTCTTTATTTCCTATTCATGTTTTTTCGCGATCAAAGAGTTGAAGAAGATGACAAAACGTTTTTTCTTTGTTTACGAAAAATCAACCAAATTTGTTCAATTATTGCTAGGCTTTTATTCTTTATAGTTATTTTTTTGCTGTTGGAATATTGATTACTGCTTGGTAAGATGGGGAATGAATATTGTTACAGAACATTAAGTACGGTTCAGGGTGAGTGAGTGAGTTTAGTTTTACGCCGCAATGAGCAATATTATTTTCAGCTATATGGCGGCGGTGGTCGTGTTGGGCAACGTTTCTACTGTTCCACAGTAGTGCATGTGGGTGTCTGGGGCCGTGGGGTAGCCTGGTGGTTAAAGCGTTGGTTTATTACCCCGAAGACCCGGGTTGCACAAGACAGATGGGTGTCATGGGGGCAACGTGTCTACTCTCCCCTCATACTGCAAGTGGTGTCTAGGGCGGTGGGGAACCTAGTGGTTAAAGCGTTCGCTCGTCACGCCGAAGACACGGGTTCGATTCCCACATGGGTGCAATGTGTCAAGCCCATTCCTGGTGTCCCCTGTCGTGATATTGCTGGAATATTGCTAAACGCGCTGTAAAACCACACTCACCCTCTCACTCACTCACTCACTATCACGTGGTGTCTGTTTACACAAGAAACCTTGATGAACAAATGCATATGTTCACCCCGAAGTAAATGGTTAAATTGTGTGGTAATTATGAGGCTGTTAAATTTCTAACGCCTCAAAGTCTCTTCTCGTGCAGCTGAGAACAAATATCGACGGCATTTTGATCTACTAATTAGAATGATAATAGTTGATATCACCTTTAGCCATATAATAACTCATGTGACAGTTATATATTCAGGGGGAAACAGTGAATATATTTCCAGAGAACACTAATCCATCAAAATGGAAATAATAATCGCAATTTCCACATATTTTACAGATGGATTTGCGCATTGTAACTTAACAATCAATCTTCTTCAGCTATCGCATTGTTGTCGTACAACCATAACAACAAAGAAATTCATACCTGGAGTTTAGAAAAATACATGACACGTTTTCATAGATAACAACTTCCTTCTATGCTTTACACGACGTTTCAGGGCGATGAAGGAACAAGGATTGGCTCTGAAACGTCGTGGAAAGATCACAAAGAAATTCTTATCAAGTAAAAAGCGCCATGTATTCATGTTTGTCCAACTTACAAATGCCAACTATCTGAAAACCTTAAAATTCATCTTTCTTCCAGAAAAAAAAAATTCTAAAAGAAAAAAACGGCATGGGAAATGTTGAGAAAAATTGGTTTTCTTTCATCCCATAACTCAAACTTCGACCATGTTCAGCCATCCTATAGAAGCTTGTTATATGTATCAACTTATTTTACCATGGGAATGAATAGAAAACAAAACCAACAAAACAAAACGCAAAAATTTCTAAATGTCTTTCAAGTCCTTCGGAGTTTAGATGATTTCCATATTTTGGTCTTTGAACAACCAAAATGCTTGACCATAATGCACATAATTAATGGAAGATATTTAAATGCATATAAAGAAGTATTATTACAATAAAACACTTTACAAAGGGTAATGAGGGCATTGGGAAACACAGTAAACATTGTCGACTGCGACAGTTCAATTTGATTGTTTGTCGACTCCTACGACAAGCATGTGTTACTAAGATCAATATTAACCCGGGTCTTCATGGGCTGTGATAGTTGAAAAAATGGGTTTGTAAACAAAACAACAGGGAAATAATAGCTCATTGTGTGTCTCCTGGTGGCCCTGACAACCGCAAATGTTGCTTAGCAGTCAGGAACATTCCAGCAATATCACGGCGTCCCGTAATTAATTCAAAATAGTGGTTGCTCCTATGACCATCACCTTAAGCCGTCGGGACACGCTGACATGTAATTAACACAGTCCATCGGATCCATTTTTGTCGACTCTTATTACTACCTAAATACCGCAAAGATCCAGGGTAGGGTTGGTCTTCAGCAACCCATGCTTGTCGTAAAAATCGACTAACGGGATCGGGTGATCAGTCTCGCTGACTTGGTTGACACATGTGATCACATCCCAGTTGCGTAGACCGATGCTCATGCTGTTGATCACTGCATTGTCACATGCAGACTCGATTATTTACAGACCTTCGCCATAGAGATAGAATATGGCTGAGTGTGGAGTTAAACAAACTAACAAACAAACCAAAAACATTACATCTTGTTTGGAATGTATACACGAATGCGTATTTGCTCAGCCAAAGCAAATAAGATCAATTCAAGTTTCGTTTTGCAGGGGACGGATGGAAGAATTTCCAGGGAGGATTTCGAGAACTTATGGAGAGAGTACTTCGTATCTGACGACATTAGTGCCAGAGGAAATTACCTGTTCGGTCGTCCACCATTTTGAATGTAGTTCCGGAAGCGGATGTTATGTTTTCGTGCATGCGCATGAGCAGGAAGACGGACACATTCGATAACGGGGATACTGTTTGGCCCTGTTTGGTATTAGGTTGAGGCCAACGGTGGAGCACAGCTGGGATCAATACAGATTATGTAAGGTCGATTGAAAAGCGACAAACCCCGCATAACTGCACAAGAGTTAAGCGCATTCTATTGGCCTGGCTCTAACTCCTACTTTGTAACTTTTATATGTTATATTCTTAAGACGACTATAGCACGTGTAGCACACGTTTTATACAATCCTTTTGTTACTTCTTGTTGTAGGAAATATTTTGCTGGCATAACTCAAGATAGAAGGTAGTGACAATAGTATCGCACATTAGATGCTTTCGTATTAGGAAGGTGCAAAACTACTAGAAACGTAAGGCAAAGAATTATTATTTACACTACACTGCAATGATATATTAAAAACGACGTTATAGACGTCATTGACGACCCCTCAACTGCGCCCCAAAATTAATTAAAAAATTATGCAGTGTAGTCAAAGTGGATAATATTATGAAACAGCTGAAACAACCAAATTCCCTAAATTCAGTTAAGATTCGAAAAATATTATCAGGGAAATCTGCAAATGGTTTAACGTTTATGCACATTTAGATCGTTGGCCTTCACCTTGGACTAAGTAATAAGAGTTTAAACTTTTCATGACATAAGTAGGAGTTTGAAAAGAATGCTTAATTTCAAATTACTTTCTTGGTTTGCAAAGCTATACAATTTCACAAACCCATCTTAATTAGTGTATATGTGGTACTTCTTAAATCGGAACCTTTGTAATCCGGACTGAACATTTTCACATTGTCACCTTTAACATTGTTACCGGTTAACGATTCATGTTTATAAAAATTCATTTAAAGCATATATATTTGAAACAAACGTCCAATGAGGCTGTCCAGACAAAACAGGTTCCGGATTCCGGGGGTTTCACTTTTTATTTCCATACATCCGTTGCGTTGTACCATTTATTTATAAATAAACCGAATCCTAGCTTAATGCATTTTTTTCAAATACTTTAAACAAATATTACAATGCAAGATGACGATATTTTCCTCTGATTTGTCTGTTATAATGTATCCTAGCGTTACGTAAATCGTCCCATAAGCTTGAGGCGAATCTGAGTATTCTTGTGCCTTGAACCAATGCCACTATTATATATAATCTTCAGGATTATGGTCCCTTTCGTCGTCTTCAGTTGCTGTTTCGATTAAAGAATACATCTAATTGAATAATTACAAATATACTCATGCCAATAATGGTTGTCACCCCCTTCAATTTTTTCAATTGGAGAGGGGGTGTGTGGTGGGAGTGTAAGGTGTGTGTGGGGTTGGGGTGCGGAGGGGGGTGACAACCATTATTGGCATGAGTATATAATCTTCAGGATTATGGTCCCTTTCGTCGTCTTCAGTTGCTGTTTCGATTAAAGAATACATCTGATTGAATAATTACAAATATTATTGTAGAAAGCTAAGATGGAATCATTTCCCCCAAGGCAACCGTTTGTCCTCGGCTGAAATCTCTTTCGAAAACTTGTATGTATGCTATTTTATTCATGGATATTTGGTCAGACTATACCTGATTTCTCAAATCTTTATAATAATTTGTACGTCCGTGTTGTTATTAAGATGTTTTGCTTTTTTGTTAGGACAGGGCGGTTTGAACATAGGCTCCGAGGATTGTTAAAGGAGGGCTACTATCATATTAAATTAGCAGTCCATACCACCGTTTCACAAAGTGAGGTGAGTTGAGGTGAAATTGGGTTTTACGTCGTGCTTGAGAATATTTCGCTCATATGACGACGTGTTTCACACAGTGCAGTGCTATACCTTAACATAGATTTGCGTTAGTCGTAGCGCTACCATCACTTTGTGAGACGGAGCCCAGTTTGACTTCAGCCCTTTCATCACAAATATGTTTGTCTGATAACTCAGTCAACGTAGATAAATCTAATAGCAATCGATCACATACTCTCTCACGTTCACAAGAGGCAATAACGTCAATGTCTAGACTAATATTGGATATGAGTACCAGATTGAAACAAACAGTATTAAAGTATTAAACTAAGACTGGGATACCGACATGTAATTGAATATAACATTAAACGACTCTATCGTGTGCTGAAAGAGATTTCGATGGACGTGAGAGGGAAACGGTGTCCTTGTGTCAACTGTTTCGTGGAGATTTAACTAAATACGTACTTCGCAGCACAAACAAATGAAAATAAACTCTAACTCACAAGAAGGTTCATGTCGGTTCAGATGACTGAGGCAATAAAACGGACAAAAAGCTGGAAAAGAAACATTATTGGTCTTAAAGATGACCTGTCTGATGAACTCATGAACTAAAAATAAAAACAGTGTTTTATCAGGTGAAAAATCGAGTCAAAATGCTACAATACAATTGAGAATGTTATTGAGTGATCGTTGCAATGAATTTATATTGAAGACAAAGGTAACATTGATACTGAAGACACAGGTAACATAGATACTGAAGACAAAGGTAACATTGATATTGAAGACAAAGGTAACATTGATATTAAAGACAAAGGTAACATTGATATTGAAGACAAAGGTAACATTGATATTAAAGACAAAGGTAACATTGATATTGAAGACAAAGGTAACATTGATATTGAAGACAGAGGTAACATGATATTTAAGGAAGAGGTAACATTGATATTGAAGACAAAGGTAACATTGATATTGAAGACAAAGGTTACATTGATATTGAAGACAAAGGTAACATTGATATTGAAGACAAAGGTAACATTGATAAAGGTAACATTCATATTGAAGACAAATGTAACATTGATATTGAAGACAAAGGTAACATTGATATTGAAGACAGAGGTAACATTGATATTTCAGGAAGAGGTAACATTGATATTAAATATATAGGCAACATTGATGCTAAGGACAGAGGTAACATTAATTTTGGATACAAACAACATTTAAGCTGATAATCGAGGTAACATTAATATTGAAGATTGAGATAAAATTGATATATAATTTATTGAAATATAATTGTTATTGTAGATAGAGATAACATTGTTATTAAAGATATTGAGATGTTGCAGGGAGATTTGAAAAGTCGGAGGTGTGTGTTGATATTAACGCTTGTTGCTTGTTTGTAGTTTGCACCTCGTTGTTGTTGTTTGGCAGTCTTGTTGTTATCTGGTTATTGTTTACTTTAATAAACTGTTTTCAACCCGATCTGTATTGGTATTGTATTGACAAAGCGAGTGATGCGATCACCTGGCACCTGGAATACGTAGCATCATTTACTAAAACATACTGTAAGCCATTAAAAACGCAATTGGTATTTGTTGTCCTGAAACTTACAAAAGTTCTATTGCAGATTTTTTCCTGCGATACATAGGATGTAGGGATAACATGGCTGTTATTCTGGCCCATTTCGAGTTCGAGTCCCGGAGCATTCCTCTCACATGAAAGACGAAAGGAATCAGGTTATCGGTATGGTCAGCCAAGGTGCTTCAGATGTGATGATTGCCAGGCACTTTAATGTGCATCCATCCACTGTAAGTCGACTCAGACAACGTTTTCGGGCTACCGGAAGTGTTGCTGATCGTCCGCGACCTGGTGCACCACCTGTGATAACAGCTCGACAAAACCGCAATATCCGAGTATCACACTTGCGAAATCGGTTCCAAAACGGCTGATGATTAGGCAAGGAGGACAATTGGGACAAGGCAACGTTATTTCAGCGCCCAAAAGGTGCAAGGACGCCTTGCTGCCTTCAACATCCGGTGTCGTCACCCGTACCGTGGTCCAACCTTATTGCATCGCCACAGACTTGCCAGACAGCGATGGGCAGCAAATGGGGCCAATCTTGACAACAGGACATGGCCAGATGTCATTTTTTCAGACGAATCCAGGTTTAACTTATCCTTTGCAGATGGACGTAAACAGATTTATCGACGTAAAGGAGAAAGACTTGCGCCAAACTGTGTCCTTGAACATGATCGTTTTGGAGGGGGTGGTGTCATGATCAGACCACAGACCATCAGAGGCTGCAGACCATCCAACAGCTGTTCCTGAGAAATGTGTGTCTTTCAATGCCCCAAAGACAGCGAGCATGTCTTGCAGTGCACGGTGGACACACACGATATTGACTGCAAGTGACAACTCCTTTGTTTGAAGTCGTTGTTGCGTCACTGATGTTGTTGTTGACTGGACATTTTCAGATGAAATTATTCACAGATGTTCACTTAAAACATATCTGCCAGTTAGGTTTATATATGTTGAAATTAGTGTGAGTAAAGAAAGTATGAATGTCAAATTGCATTTTTAATGGCTTTCAGTATATATAGTCTGTACAGTGTACTAGCTCGGTAAATATCACAGCTGCAAAATGACATATACAATGCAGTTAGAAGTAAAAAGATTTCAGACAAGCCATGAATGGCAACAACATACACTCACATGATACAAGGGGCGGTGGGGTAGCCTTGTGGTTAAAGCGTTGGCTCGTCACGTCGTAGACCCGGGTTCGATTTCCCACATGGATGCAATGTGTGGAGCCCACTTTTAGTGTCCCCGCCGAGATATTGGTGGAATATTTCTAAATGCGTAAAACTAAACTCACTTCCTCTCTCCCTCCTTCACTCCCTCCCTCCCTCACTCACTCCCTCGAAAAAACTGGAAATTGGTACTGGGCCGATACTGACATGTTACATGTGCAGTTACGGATGCAGTGTGTGTGTGTGTGTGTGTGTGAGAGAGAGAGAGAGAGAGAGAGAGAGAGAGAGAGAGAGAGAGAGAGAGAGAGAGAGAGAGAGAGAGAGGAGAGAGAGAGAGAGAGAGAGAGAGAGAGAGAGAGAGAGAGAGAGAGAGAGTAAAGTGTAAAGAGCGGTGTAAAGTCATATTCACTCACTCGGTCATGTCCTCACTTGGCACTGCACTGTTTACTGTCGACTAAGATTTTATGAGCGCATCAGACACCAGCAGATTCATCTGTTGCTTGCAAATACCATTCCGTGATATTAACAATCATTTCATGTCTCCGTTGCCAGTAGACAGTAATTACAAAATCCGTTTACTCAACGATAGTTTCTGCAATAACCTACCTGGCATATACCAATAAGAACCCCTGTGAAGATCAGAGTCAGAATTAAGCTTCAGCAACCCATGAGTGTAATTGTACCAAGATCAAGATAGGTCAAGATAATGTATTGTACATTAAGCCTGAGGCCAGTATACATAGACGGATGTTCATGCTGCGTTTCACAAACAAACAATCAAAACCAACAAGCACAGCTTGGATAACGGGTGCGAACTGCGTTTAACAAACAAACAATCAAAATAATCAAACAATCAAAACCAATAATCGCATCTTGCCATCGCCTAACGGGTAACGGGTTTAACGAACTGCATCTTGCCATCGCCTTAACAAAAACAAACAATCAAAACCAATAATCGCATCTTGCCATCGCCTGGATAACGGGTGCGCCATCGCCTGGATATCGCTTGCGAACTGCGTTTACGGGTGCGCTGATCCCATCGAACTGCGTTTAACAAACAAACAAGGCATCTTGCCATCGCCTGGAATCAAAACCAATAATCGCATCTTGCCATCGCCTGGATAACGGGTGCGAACTGCGTTTAACAAACAAACAATCAAAACCAATAATCGCATCTTGCCATCGCCTGGATAACGGGTGCGAACTGCGTTTAACAAACAAACAATCAAAACCAATAATCGCATCTTGCCATCGCTTGGATAATGGGTGCGAACTGATCCGCTGAAGTGCTTAGCTGGAGATTCTAGTACAGCGAAACCTAAATCGGCATTTTATTTCGGACCCGTGGGGTGCCGGTTTAGACAAGGTACCGGATTAGACAGTGACAATAATTTTCTAACATGGCTGCCATTTACACTCGTCAATTTCTTTATCTCTATAATGCCATTGGTCTTTTGTAATTGTGCAACGATTCATTGGATTAAGGGACCTTCATTGGACTGCTCATACCCATGTACTATTGTTGGGTTGAGTTCCATCCCGGATTCAAACTCACAACCTCAGAGTCAGGCACTTAATCGCCAATACACAAGGTCAGCCGCCTAACTCACTCGGCCAACGAGGACAGCTGGTAGTCTAGACTACGGACATTGTGTACCCCTCTGATTGTGTAAAAGCTATGAGTGAGTGAGTTTAGTTTTACGCCGGTTTTAGCAATATTCCAGCAATATCACGGCGGGGGACGCCAGAAATGGGTTTCACACATTGTACCTATGTAGGGAATCGAACCCGGATCTTCGGCGTGACGAGCGCACGCTTTAACCACTAGGCTACCCACCGCCCCCTAAGAGCTATCAAAACACAATGCCTTTGAGACAGAATCAAAGGGAGGTTGGAGCTTATGCGCGGGTCTCTCCTTTTCAGAACGAACCGTGAAGTTCTTGGTTAGAATTGGTCTCCAGGGCCTAGATTTTCGAAGCTCTCTTAGCGCTAAGATAGTCGTAAGTGCCATACATTAACATTAACTTACGACTATCTTAGCGCTAAGAGATCTTCGAAAATCTAGGCCCAGTAACCCATGCTTGTCGCAAGAGGCGACTAACAGGATTGGGCGGTCAGGCTCGCGACGTAGTTGACACATGTCATCATATCCCAATTGCGTAGATCGATGCTCGTGTCGTTGATCACTGGATTGTCTTACCCAGACTCGATTATTTACAGACGGCCTCCATAGATAGCCTTGTTTGTAAGTAAGTTATTTTTGGTCAGTTCAGTTGTTCTGACGGTCTGGTACTGTATGACTTCAGGAACATTCCATGATCCCCTTGCCCACCTGTGTCTCAAACATATACCAAAGGGCACGGGCATATTTTCTTTCGACAAACCTGAGAATACTCTACAACCATCCCGGGCAAAACAACCCATATATCTTAACCAAAAGCCCCAAACAGCGCTACTTTTGCTTTGCCTTCTCTGAAAAGTTACAACTTTCTCAAGTAATTACTTGTAACAGCTGCGTTGAATCTAAAAGACTTCCTAATCGTCACTCATTAAGTTGCTTATTTTACTTGAGTGAGTGAGTGAGTGAGTTTTAGTTTTACACCGCTTTTAGCAATATTCAAGCAATATCACGGGGGGGGGACACCAGAAATGGGCTTCACACATTGTACCCATGTGGGGAATCAAACCCGGGTCTTCAGTGTGATGAGCGAACCCTTTAACCACTAGGCTAGCCCACCGCCCCTATTTTACTTGATCTGTAGGTAGTTGAAGTATGGACATACTGTTAACTTTACTGAACATTTTCAGAGGAGATTAATTTTGTCTTCTTTTTTGTGAAAGCCAAGAAAGAAAAGGCCAACTGGGAGAGATGACCATACAAGAAAAAGGCGAATGTTCTATTTGTTATGTATTGTTCGTGCGTGAAGACCTAAAGGGCAAACACCTTTTAAGGGGATGTTGTTTAACGTGAGTGATATATAATTACTTTTTATTTGGAGACAAATAATTGTACAAAATGTCAAGCCATAATTCCTTTACAGCTTATTCCCAATGTTAGATACTTGATGTCATGTTGTTTCAAGGAGACCGTTTATGGACAGCACACCTTTACAAGCAGAAGAAATAAGTTCTTTTTGATTTGTTTTGTAAGGGTGCACTCAGTACCACTCCGGCTGCATGTACATATCCACGTCTGAACCAGATAATCCTGTGACTGATATTATGAGCAACGATTCACACGATTACTGTGACAATATGCGTCCTTTGTCATTTTTAGAACAGTTTATCACCTCCTGATATTAGCATATTTAGCAGAAATCAGGCTCTTGAAAAAAACTCTTGTCACATTTTTACTCTTGAATATGAGATTTGACTAAGATATATTTCAAATGTCACTTTTAGAGTGTTAAATGTGCTGTATGCGTATAACTGCAAAATTGCTGAATCGGCGTTAAGAAATGTTCACTCACGCACTGAGTCTGATGTACTCGCACCTTCCGACCTCTCAGATATAGCGGGGCGGTGGGGTAGCCTAGTGGTTAAAGCGTTGGCTCGTCACGCCGAAGACCCGGGTTCGAATCCCCACATGGGTACAATGTGTGAAGCCCATTTCTGGTGTTTCCCGCCGTGATGTTGCTGGAATATTGCTAAAAGCGGCGTAAAACCAAACTCAGTCAGTCAGTCAGTCTCAGATAGAGCGGGGACATTGCTTTTCATGGCACTTCAGACTTC